GCAGTTTTAGTAAAGACTTTACCGTAGGCTGGGGCAGTGGAGGGGGGAGGGGGGAAGAGGAGAAAGAAAATGAGGAGAATAAGGGGGGGAGGGAGGGAGGGAAAGAGAGAGGAGGGAAGTGGGGAGGAAAAATGAAGGGAGGGAAAAGGGGGGTCTGAGAGACGAGGGGAGTGAGGTGAAGAGGGAGGGGAGGAAAATGGGGGGGGAATGGGAGCAGTGGAAGTGGGGGAAGAGGGAGGGGAGGGAAATGGGGGGGAATAGGGGGGGGGGGGAGGAAATGATCCATTGTTCGTACGCTTCTCCCGACTGGTATTCTCAGCGCTGTAATGTAAACACACGAGCCCTTTCATAACTTGACTCTCTTTAGGCTCAAAAAAGAAGACGAAAAAAAAGAAAAAAAAACACCCAATGACAATATGCAAATGATGGGCTTCTATGCGACCCCGTTATTGTGGATTCGTTCGGATAAGGGTATGTGAATTCATTAATGTTTGTTTGTTTGTTTGCATGATTATTTACCTTTTTAGTGGGTTCTTTAATGTGTTATATTTCTCTAGCGATTTTTTATCACTCTCTGCCTGTCTGATTCTCGCTTTTTTTCTTCTACCTCTATGTCTCTTACCCCCTTCTCTCTCTCTCTCTCTCTCTCTCTCTCTCTCTCTCTCTCTCTCTCTCTCTCTCTCTCTCTCTCTCTCTCTCTCTCTCTCTCTCTCTCTCTCTCTCTCCTTCTCTCTCTCTCTTTTCATCATCATCCACTTTTCAGAAACAAACACAAAAACACGCATTTCTTTCCCTTTTAAGCGATTTATCATCAATTAACTGCCATAATTATCCCAGGGGTGTAAAATAATTATCAGATTAGGCAAGTTGTCGATAGTAATGACAGGTGAGTTTTATCTCCTTGTATCGGGGATAAACAATGCTAAGCGACTGGCCAGGTATTTAAATGTCGTTGATATTGGTATTGTTAATTTACGGGAAGTGGAAGGGAAATGGGAGAGGAAAGGAGAGAAAGGGGGAGGGGGGGTGAGAGTGAAAGGGGATTAAGAGACGGAGAGAGAGAAAGAGAGAAAGGGGAAGAGGGAGAGGAAGTGGGAGAAACAGAGAGAGAGAAAGAAAGGAAATTAAGAAATGTATACAGAGGGAAACCAACTTAAAGATCATGAAACATACAAAAAATAGGATATAAACCAAAAAAGAAGAATAGAGCAGTAGATAGATAGATAGATAGATAGAGAGAGAGAGAGAGAGAGAGAGAGAGAGAGAGAGAGAGAGAGAGAGAGAGAGAGAGAGAGAGAGAGAGAGAGAGAGAGAGAGAGAGAGAGAAAGAGAGAGAAAGAAAGAAAGAGAGAGAGAGAGAGAGAGAGAGAGAGGAAAGAAAAGCAAAGAGAGAAAGGTGGAAAGATCAACGACCTGTCCTACGGGAAGGGGTGTTACGGTCGCAAGGGGTAACTTGAGTATTTTAACTCGCGTTTTGCTGCTTAGAGAGGCCTCCATGTCAGCTGTGTCTTTCCTTCAGTTTTCTTCAAGATTTTCCTCTTTTTCTTGTTTATTCTCTTTGTCTTTCATTTTCATATCTTTTTTTTTTTACATCGTTCTTTTTTGTCCCTTCAATGCCATCCTCATTCTTTTTCTTTTCCTCTTTCTCTCCCTTTCTGTTGCCATCATCAGTACCATCAAAATCATCATCATCATCATCATCATCATCATTATCATTATCATCATCATTATCATCATCATTATCATCACCATCATCACCATCACCACCATCCTCATCACCATCATCATCATCACCATCATCATCATCACCATCACCACCATCCTCATCACCATCATAATCACCTTCATCACCTTCACCATCATCATCATCATAATCATCATCATCATCAACATCATCATCATCATCACCATCACCTCTTTCTATCTCTTCCTTCTTCTCCGTCCCTTATCATCCTTTACTTCCGTCCCCCACGCCCTCGCCTCCTTCCCCGGCCGCCCCTTCCTCCTTCCTTGGGCCGTGCGAGATGCGGAAGGAAGTTGCGAGGGGGGGAGGGGGTAAAGGGGAGGGCGAGGAGGGGGGGGGGGGATGAGGATATGAGGATTCGAGTGAGGGGGGAGGGGGGGAGAGGTAAGGAGGACGAGGGGGAGGATGGGGTTCTGGGAGGGTTTTGAGGGATGGTGGATGGGGGTAGGGGCAGGGGAAGGGGCAGGGGAAGGGGGGGAAGGGGGGAGGAGGGAGGGTTGTTTAGCGGAATCGATCTGTCTCGGCGTTATGTAATCATCTTACACTTGCGCCTCTCCTTTGCGTCTTGGACTGTAGGCGGAGGAACAATCTTGGAATGTCGCTAATTACCAAGCGTCATCGCCGCTCTCTCTTTTTCTTTCGCTCTTTCTCTGTTTCTCTCTTTCTCTCATTTTCTCTTTTTTTTCGCTCTCTCTCTGTTCGTTGTCTTAGTCGTCGTCGTCTCTCTGTCTCTGTCTCTCTCTGTCTCTGTCTCTC